AGGATCCCAGCAACCACACCCTCTCCTGACCTCCAAAGGCACTGCACACATATGGTACAGATGTCCATGTAGGAAAACAACACCAAAAAACACCAACAAAAGTAAACTTTTAAGACCAGGCTGGCCTCGATCTCACAGATATCCACCTGCCTCTGCCTCCCAAGTGCTGGGATTAAAGGCTCAGGCTACCACTGCCAGGCTTCACCTTTTTTTCTTAACTTTTAGTCTTATGTGTGAGCATTTTCTTTGCATGGTTATTTATGCATCATGTTCTTGTCTGGTGGAGTCAAAAGAGCACACAGGGTGGCTGTGTGTCACCATGTATGTACTGAGAATTGAATTCAGGGTTTCTGTAAAAGTAACAAGTACTGTTAACCACTGAGCCATCATCTCTCCAGCCCCTGGTTTCTATTTTTAAAACTTAGTTTTCTTTCTAGGTTTTTTGAGACGAGGTTTCTCTGTGTAGCCCTGGCTGTCCTAAACTCACTCTGTAGACTGAGCAGGCCTGGAACTCAGAGATCCACCTGCCTCTGCCTATTGAGTGCAGATTAAAGGTATTTGCTATCATTTTTACATTACTATTTTATTTTTTCTGGTATAGTGCCTACCTCTGGCTCTTAACTGCTGGGATTAAAGGCTCGAAGCACTAAGCCTCACTACTTATTTCTACTTTAAAATATGTGCATATATGCGTGGCCTAGTGTGGGTTTGTGTGTACTTAAATACTGCCTTCGGAGGCCAGAGGAGGGTGTTGGATCCCGTAGAGTTGGAGTTCCATGCAGTTTTGAGTTGTCTGATGTGGGGGCTGGGGACAGAGACCAAGTACTCTGGAAGAACAGTGCTTGTTCTTAACCACTGAGCCGTCTCTGCAGCCCTTCAGCTAGTTTCTTGGTGTTCACTGTGAAATTTTTACCACAGGGAGTAAAGACCAGGTAGTCACTTCCTTTTTGAGTTGTACCTGTGTCATCCAGGCCGGCCTTATACTCACAGAGATCAGCCTTCCTCTGCCTCTGGAAAGCTGGGATCAAAGACGTGCACCACTGTTGCCTCAGGTCGCCGCCACCACCACCAGCAGCTGTCATTTGCTTTTTTGAGCTGTACCTGTGTCATCCAGGCTGGCCTCAAACTCATTACAGAACCCAGGCTGACCTTCCTGTCCTAATTCTCCTTCCTTCAGCTCCCAAACTCTGGGACACCAGGTGTGCATCAGCAATTTGTGTGTAGCACTTCCTTTTTTAGATCTATGTATAGGAGTGTTTTGCTAGCATGTATGTCCCGGCACTATGTGTGTGTGTGCCGACGTCAAAAGGTGTTAGGTTCCCAGGAACTGGAGTTACAGACCGTTGTGCCAGCCTATGTGGGTGTTGGGAATTGAACCCCAGTTCTCTGCAAGAACAAGAAATGCTCTTAACTGCTGTTGTGCCTCTGAACTACCACAGACACCGTGTCCTAACTTACAGCCTTGCACATTATAGTTAGGCAAGGGCAGTACTCTCGGCTACAATCTTAGGTGCCCCATCCTCAACCTTCTTGACACAGGGTTTCCCTAAATTGTTCAGGTTAACCTTAGGATCTCTCTGTAACCTAGGAGGGGGTTTTAACTTTCAGCAATCCTGCCTCAGCCTCCTGCGTTCTGGAATTTCAGACACCACACCTAGCTCTTAGGTCCTTTTATTTTTTTGTTTTTTCAAGACAGGGTTTCTCTGTGTAGCTTTGGAGCCTGTCCTGGACTTGCTCTGGACACCAGGCTGGCCTCGAACTCACAGAGATCCGCCTTCCTCTGCCTCCTGAGTGCTGGGATTAAAGGCGTGTGCCACCAACGCCCGGCTAGGTCCTTTTTTTATATAGGAAAACTAAGTCAACTCGGGTGAGTCTGACCACGGGCAAAACTAGTCAATCTTCAAACATTTGCTCTGGACACAGAAATCACGTAACATTCTAATTCTGGATCTGCTTGCATCTGGCCACCCTGAAGGAAGTTACTAATGAGGTCCTACAGGCTAAGTCCACATTCCCTGTTTTCTCACTGTAATAAATTCCTACGTGTACTACCTCTGGGGAGCCCTCAACAGGGCTTCAATGTTGCAGAAATCATAAAACAACAGCAGCGGTAAACTACCTTTATTGAGCGAGCGAGTCACTGTGGTACATATTTTATTTAGGTTTGGGGAATTGAGGCTGGTTTCTGAGATCAACCCCGTTTTTTTCCTTTTGATGGGTCCTGTGTTGCCCAGGCTAGCCTCCAGTTATGGAGTAACCCCCTCTCCTTCCTTCTGGGTCGTGTCTCTCCCCTCCCGCTCGTTATTCACAAAGTCTCAGTTTGCGGCCCTCACTGGCCAGCAATTCACCGTGTAGACCAGGCTGGCCTCAAGTCCGCCGGGTATAAGGACCACCACACCTGGCTAAACCTCTCTTTTAATCGCTGTCCACGTAAAACAACAGCAGCCATCGCCTTAGGGGCTATTCGCGGGCTCTCAAACAACCGCGTCCTTTCTCACGCGTCAGTGTCTTCTCGTTCCCACTTACGATCGCCTGCCGCCCTCCTGACAGCCTTTAAAGCCGCCAAAACCGCGGCCCCGACCGACTGCGCGCGCTGCACACCTGCCCTGCGGCCCGGCCTCACGCTACGGCGACAACGGTCACTCCCGTCG